ATTTAAAAAAAAAATTAAAAAAAAAAAAAGATTAAAAAATAAAAGTGAGGGAGCCTCAGACTGATAAGGCATTTGTTGTAACTATACAAGGCTTTTTTCCCATAAGGAGAGGCCTCAAAATACTAATAACTGAGGAAAAACTGATGGTTTTTGTTAATGCTCCAGCTTCTCCTTTCTCGTCCCGGCGCGGTGAACTCCAGTCCCGCCAGTACGTCAGCCGGTGGTTGGCTCTGCACACGAGTTCGGTGCAGCTGCTCGTGCTCGGAAAACATGCGAGTGTTTTCGACGTGGGCGACGAGAAGGAACGTTTAAGAAATGTTCTCTGCTCCACGAGAAGTGCAAAAAAAAAAAACCAAAAACCCGAAACCCCAAACTGGGAAATCGCAAAGGGCAGAGGGGTTGTGGGAGTCAAACACGGGCGTCGGAGACGCGTCAAAGGTCCCGGCTGCGGGGTGAACGCTCAGCAGCTGCTCTGGGCTCCGGACTTTCAAGCTTCAGGTGTTGCACGTGATGACTGTACACCTGGAAAAAGCAAAAAATAGTTTTATAAAATGAGATTGTGGAGGGAGGCGATGTGGGCAGCGTGTCCGGATGGGTTTTAGGGTGAGGTTTGGTGTCAGGCTTTATTTTAAAGGGCTTGGGCTACTGACAGCTGGCTCTAGTGGTCACTGAGGACAGGGTGGGATGTTTCTCTTGAAAGAACAAGAAATAAGAAAGAAGGAGAGTTTCCCAACTATTTCATAAAATTTTAATGGAAGGAAAAAAAACAACTGAGGGCCCCAGTGCTGCTTACCCTCTACCAGCCCAGCACAGGGATCGTTCCCCCACCCTTCGTTCTAGTGCTGGGGTCAGAGAGAGCGTCTCGGAGATCAAAATCGTGTTCTTAACGTGCTTTAAAAACCAAACTGTTGCGAAGAGCTTTGCTGTTGCTTTCGCAGGTTCTGCTCTCGGAACGGGATCCACATGGGCCAGCCTCGGTGTCCGTGCACGGCGCTGTTGAGGTGAGCGGGGTTCTGCAGGAGATCTTGATGTTTCGGGGCACGGAACAGAAAGATAAGATTAATATTTCCGATCGTGTTGTGCCTGGTTCTGAAGGATGTGTCCAGGTGGGCCATGGCTGTACAGCGCTTTTAAAACATCTCTGCCTCACTGCTTTTCGTTTCTTTTCCTTCTCTTGCTCCCACCTTTGGAAGCAGCTTTTGGCAAAGGCTCGTTCCCATGTTTGAAGATGTCCTTGGTGGACCTAGGGAAGAGGTTGCTGGAAGCCGCTCGCAAAGGCGAAGATGACGAAGTGCGGAAGCTGATGGCGAGCGGCGCGCCCTTCACCACGGACTGGGTACGTCGGAGGGTGGGCGTTGGGTTTCTCTGCGGACGGGGTCGCGTGGGCGCTCTTTAGGGCTGAGCCTAAAGGGTACGAATGGGAACTGGAGCAGCCCCGCCGGGGTGTGGACTGGCAGAAAAAGCGTCTCTGGGTTTCTGTGGCGGAGAAGATTCCAGATGAAGCACCTTAAAAACCAAGACTGTCCTCAGGCAAAGATGAATTGATGTTTGTGTAAAGATTGATCTCTGCCTGACGCAGGAGAGCGCGATCGTAAGGACCGTGCTGTCCCGGACAGCGATGAGCACGGGGTTTGGTGTTCTGAGAAGTGCCGTTCCCACCAGCTGAGATAAATGATGAGTCAGGTCAAATCGGAGGAACTGTTAAACCTCTCAGCAATAGGAAGTGCTTTTAAGAACACTTCATTTAATTGTTTAAACTCTCTCAATCAAGAAATTAATCTTTGGGGTTTTTTTTTTGTTTGTTTACTTAAAATCCTGAAAACCAGCCCATCCTGGGTTGGAAAGGAAAGAAAAGCTTTAATGAAACCAAAGAAAACCAGTTGGATAAACAGGGAACTGGACTATAACGAACGAGCTGTCGGTGGCCATTTTCCATCACCAGTTGTCTTAATTTCTAACTTAGCAGTTTGTTCAGTCAGAACTTTGGGAGATGAAGATAACTGTATCGAGAGGTCACAGAGCCTGGTGATGTTGTCATGCTGCCCTTCCCTAAACGCTGGGGAAATTATCTGTCGTGATATGGAACTGGCAGAGCTGTTGGCTTGGAGAAGCCGCTCAGCGATGAATGGACGGCGTGGTGGAGGAAGGAGAAGCGGGTTTGATCTTCAACTTACCAGAGAACATCAAGATCCCTAAAAAGTTTAACGTTCACTGGGAAAATTATTGGATGTGCAGCCCCTTATTTCTGAGCGGAGAAAAAAAAAGTGAAATTAATTTTTCCCAGAAGCTTTGTCATTTTAATGCCCCGTGGTGATTACAGTGCCTGTCCTCTCTTGCTGTGAACTGACGGCAGCTCTTCCAAATTCCCGCGCAGCTCGGGACGTCGCCGCTTCACCTCGCTGCCCAGTACGGCCACTATTCGACGGCGGAGGTGCTGCTTCGCGCTGGCGTCAGCAGAGATGCCCGGACAAAAGTGGACCGGACGCCGCTCCACATGGCTGCGGCTGACGGACACACTCACATTGTAGAACTGCTAATTAGGGTGAGTAGAGTAAATTAAGTCTCATTTAAGGCTGAGTCTAAATAGCCCTTGGAGTGAAGTGTTGGTGTCCCTGTTAAAGACATCGAGAGGAGATGGCGTCCGGACAATTAACGTTTATTTCTTTCAGAACGGGGCTGATGTAAACGCCAAGGACATGCTGAAAATGACGGCTTTGCACTGGGCGACGGAGCACAACCACCGAGACGTCGTGGAGCTGCTCCTCAAGTACGGAGCTGACGTCCACGCTTTCAGCAAGTTTGATAAATCGGCTTTTGATATCGCTTTGGACAAGAACAATCCGGAGATGCTGGTGATGCTGCAGGTAGGTTGAGGAGGGAGAAAGCTTGTTCGTAATTTTCTGACCTGCAGCTGGAGTGAGAGGGATCCTCTTGTGTCCCATGGGATGATTTTCTGTTTGCAGAACTAGACACGTGGAGGTGGATGAGGTTTATTTTGTCGCCACGCATCTCGACAGTGGCCAAGTTGAGGTGGCAGTTTTCTCACAGCTTTTGCTCTGGTGTCCCTGACGTGCTGCGGAGAGAAATAAAAATGCCTCTGAAATGCTTTTTGTGGGATTTAGCATCCTCGAAACATGTGGGATGTGTGCCTGACCCCGCTCTCTTTCCTAGGAAGCAATGCAGAACCAGGTGAACGCTCATCCAGAGAGAACGAACCCCGTGACCAGCACTGTGACTCTCACCTCTCCGTTCATCCTTGCGTCAGGAGAAGTTCTCAATCTCACCAGCCTCGGCTCTTCCGCAAACACCAAAACAACCTCAGGTAAGGTTTTGTGTGACCTTGAGTGGGGAAATCTTGCAAAAAAGTTGCTGAGACAGCTTACCAGCAGAGGGCAGATGGTTATTCCGTGGAGGAAAAGCGGTGAAGTGGAGCCAAACACACCCAACTGCTGCTTCCTGCCCCGGAATGTTTTTGCCGTCGGAGGTAACAAAGCAGATTTCTGGCTGGTGTAAATAAAGGTGGTTCCACTGGAAGCGGCTGAGCTCAGCTGCGGGGCTGCTCCAGGTCTGTTCCGAGCAACAGAGCTTGAGAAAAAGAGTTTGGCTGATTGCAACAGAGGAATAACGAGAATTCTCGCCAAATCCTGAGCGGTTGGGGAGCGGTTTGCTTTGTTCTTTGCGGGCTACGAGAGTAGAACGAATGTTTTGCTCTGGAATTCCCTCACTCAACACTTACACAGAGTGGGCAGGTCCGTTGGGTACGTGGCTCACTCCTTGTTTCTTCTGCCCCACACTTTAGATGGAAATAATTAAGTTCCTCATTGTTCTCTGAGCCTTGTTTTGGTGGGGCCGACGCTTTTAACTTCAGGCTGGGTGCGAATTCTTTTTTGTGTAATTCCAATTTTCAAAATAAAGTGAATTTTCAGTTTTTGGGGCAATCCAAACCATTGTTTCTTTTCAGTCTCAAGGAGGCTGCTAAGCACAACTTTTGTGAAGCTGTGTGGCCTCATCCTGCAGACACTTCTGCGTGGGAGTAATTCTTTGGTCGGTGGCACTGTTCACATGCCTGAATGTTTGCTGGAGAGTGCTTTTAAAATCCCAAATTCTGGTGTTTTGCAGTCCCACCCTCACCTCTCTGCCTGTGCCTGCCCACAGCGACCTCAGCAGCGCTCCAGACTTGCTCTCAAAGCTTTTGGGGCTGACAAACCCTCCTTTAGAACCCAAAGCGATCCTCTTCCACCTGTGAGGACGATGCAGCGTGACTGGCGCACGTCTTCAGTCAAGGATATTCCACAAACCCCAAGGGGTGTAAAACTCGGGGTTTTTGTGCCCGGCGGACGCTCTGGCCGGCGCCGCTGTCCCTGCAGAGGGGTCTGGCACTGCCTCGAAGCCGGGTGGGCATCACAGAGGCCAACTCCCGCTAAAGGCGGGTAGAAAACGGCCGATTTCCAGCTTTAACACATTCTTCAGACTTTTTCCTGGTACGACCGCAGCCCTTTGGTTGAAATCATTCTTCTTTTCCCTCGCCTTCATCCCTTCGATGTGGAAATCGGTCCCGTCCCCTCTCTGCCTCTGCTCTGCTGGGCTGAGCGAGCCGCTCGCCCCGAGTCCCTTGAATCCGTGAGCGGCCGCAGGCAGGGCTCCCGATGAGCTCGTGGCACTGGCCCCGTAAATCCCTGGCTCTCGCGGCACCTCTCCCCATATATCCTGCGGCGTAATCGCCTTTTTCAGTGCCCGCAGCCCGGCGGTGGCTTATTGTCCACGTGCGACGGGACTAAAATACCCCGGGCTTTTCCCCAGGCATCGGTCAGCGAGAAAATCGCCGGCGGCTCCTGCTCTAGGCCATGTCAGGAGATTTTTTTTTTTTCTCATTTCCCACAAGAGGGCATCAGCGACTGCGCCTTCGTTACAACGAAAATCTCTTATTGAACACTTGCAGCTAATAATTGTTCCTGTCTCTCCTGAATTCCCTCTTTATTGAAAAAGTTTTGAAATGGGAATAAACTGTCTTTAGATAGAAGAAATCTGGTTCCAAACCGCTGGAAACAGTCGCTAAGCCTGTGGTGTTCTCTGCTTAGCCTTTCGAAAGGATCGTTCTTTGAAAAGAAATCCCTCGAGAACCTTTGGAAAGTCAGGAGGCAGCGAGAAAGAGAGAAAATAGGTTGCAAGGGTTAAGGCAAGGAAACTTTAGATGAACTTCCCTTTGTGTGCTTAAAATCTGTTTCTCTCCAGGGGCAATGAGGTACAGGATCTCTTTTTTTTTTTTTTTTTTTTTTTTTTAAAGAGGAATTGGGGGCTCTGTGCAGTGAGCTTGCGCCCGTTTAGTTAATTTCCTGTTCCATTCTTATTGAGTCTGCCTTTGAATAGGAGCGACTGCGGTCAATTGGAGGAAGAAACATTGTTTTTTGGAAGCGAGAAGGGTTGTTTATCTCGCTCAAATCAATACCCCGATGCGGTAATGGTGGGTTTTCTTTCACCGAACCCCAGACGGGGGGAGGAAAGGACCTGCACGCCCAGCACGTTGAAATCCAGCCCTCTGTGTGGCCGATCTCTGTGTTTGAGCAGAAATTTGAGTTAGTTTGAGTTAACTGGCTTGTGCTGAAACATTTGGGGCGTGAAGTGATGCTGGAGACGGCACTTGGAGCCTTTCCCAAGCGAGAAAGAACACGGGTGCTGTAATTTACTCGTAGCAACAAACGAGTTGAATATATTCTCTAGCTTTTGCCGTTCTGAAAGCTGCAGTACGACGCCAAGCTGAGGAATTACGCGCGTAGTAACCGCTCTGCGCGACGTTCCGGCAGCCAGGCTCCAGTGTCGTCGGGCAGCGCGGCTGCGGCTCGGAAAGCCGAACACGTCAATCAGAGCTTGGCACGCCAAGTGCCCGGCCGACAGCCGGCCTTTCTGCGGTTCTGACAGTAAAACTGGCGCAAATCCCTTCACATTCGCTGTTCTTTGATTCAGAAAGAGCTTCATATTTGTTTTAAATTCATTAAAAAATATCATAAAATATCTGGAGTGGGTACAGTCCATCCTCAAGTAGCGTCAAAGTGCTTTTAGGAGAAAATAAAAAATGATCTGTCCCTCCTCCCTTTCTCCATTGACCCGTGGGAGCCCAGAAAATACTCCGTAGCTGATGGCTTTCTGTCTAGATGACAAAACCGTTGCGTTCTGGCCGCTTTATTCGCTGTTTCGGTGTGGCAGGTCCTGCCAATCCTTCCGTTTGCTCTCCTCTTCCCCGCGCAGGTGGCTCGCACGTCTCGACGGTGCAGTTTGCCAACTCCACGACCTCCGTGCTCGCCACGCTGGCGGCTCTCGCCGAAGTGTCGGCACCGCTTTCCAGCTCCGACAGGGATACAGGTACGGGAAACCGGTCAGGTGCTGAGCCAAATTTGTGTCATTTTAGCGAGTATCTTGCCAGGAAATTGGAAGAAATTTAAGTTTTGGAAGTGAATTTGCCTCCTTTCGGGGTAAGGAAGAGATGCCGATAAATATTTGTGAAGCAGTGGGTTAATTTTGCCTATTTATTTATTTTAATTCCAAACTTAATTAAAAAAACCACAACTGTTACCAATTTTTGATTAACCGGCACGTCTGACCCTGGCATCCCAGCACGCTGCTC